GCCCAAGATATGGCAAAGCCACTGGGATCGGAGTTCGGGGCTTTTGATGATTTGGAAAGGCTTCCATCTTCGGGCGCTTTGATGATTTCTTTGAAGAACAAGCTGTTATTTTGTGACAGGTGATGAAAATCGGGGTGCTCTTGGCAGACCTTGGATGGGGTTTGGTCTTAACATGACAAGTGCACTTCTGGCATTTTGGATAGAAGAACAGCTCTCGCCAGTACAACTCAGGAAAAGAGGAAAAAAGCAAAAGAGATGCCAACGCGGCTCGGGGTTGTGCAGAATGCCAATCAACGAGTTACTGTAGAGTGCTTTCCATACTTCCTTGGGCTGTAGGCTTTTGAGCTGCCTGATTGAAGTGTCTGTGTTTCATGTCACACCTTCCACAGAGTGTGTCACCTCATTTCCTCACCCCCCCCTCCTACCTTGCCTCCTAGCCGTGCTCAGGAAGGAGATGATCAGTGGGGCCAATGACCTCATGAGCTGCTCGGACGAATTCCGGCGATGCCTGGAGATGGGCTTCGTTGAAAAAACCGGCAGCTGCAGGTTCAACAGGGTTTGAACATTTTGGGGTATCAAGCATCTTGACACATGTTTGTTTTTTGCAAGCATGGTTGATCTCAGATGCCAGAAACGCGATAGGAGTAACAAGATCCATCCTGGAGGAGAGAAAGAAGATGAAAGAAGAACAATAGCACAGGAGTAACTTTGCACTTGGTAAGATGCTCTTCCAAGATGCTCGGACCCTCGGGACTCTTTCACCAAACTTTCGATGTGCTTCAATTGGTCTGATCCCAGGACTCACGAAGCAGGTGAAGACTGCGATCCGCGCATCTTCTGCAGGACGCGAGTCATGTGATTGGAGGAGTTGGGGGTCCAGTCAGTGTGTGTGGGTGGGTGGGTGGGTGGGGGTTGAGTTGGTGAAGGTCCAAAAACACAACAACTAGAAGTTGACTGTGGAGTAAGTGATTGAGAGTATCACCAGGACCAGGATGCACCTGGTTGATGGGTCAAAGTGGCTGGTTGATTTGAGAGTCACCCTTCCTAAAGATGAGCATCACTGGGATAGCAGCCTTGGCCATCTCCATATTGGGCGCGTTTAAGAATCCAACAAACATCCGGGTCAGCTTTTCATCAACTGAACCTTAAGACCCTCTGGATTGATTTGCACTGCGTAATAACCCTATGACCTATCCCATGTGTATCGAACTGCAGTCCGTTTCCAGGCCTCTCGACATCTCTGGCACTGACTGGGGATTGGGATATGACGCCCTGGGATTTGCTTCAACCAGCCACACCACAACATATGGAGATCATGCTGTTCAGCCAACCAAAACCACAAGCAAACCAAAAGCCGGGCAAAAACACAGCAAAAACAAGCCATCAAACAATAACTCAAACAACGCAAGCACCTCAACCAGTTGGCTTCCCACCTAACCGGTGGATCTTTCCGCCACCATGTTTTCACTCCACTCTTCGGAGGATTGGACCCCGGCGTTGTGGCATCACTGATGCAGATGTGGCCTTGGTCGGGAGCCCCCTTGGGTGGCGAACCACCTCCTTCACCGGGGCGGGACCACACCCAGCCGCCCGGCGGGGACTCCCTGACCCTGCAGACGTGGAGTAAATGGCCGGCCTGTCCGCTAGTGTGGCACCCGGGGATTGAGCCCGGCATAGCCACCAGAACAGACTTCTGACCCGGCCCTTTTTCACCGGGCGATTGTTAGACACCCCCGGTCTCCGGGAGCCCTGGCCTGGTCTCTCTCTCTCCTCACACTGAGAGTGGAGAATGGTCCTGACCAAAGCTGTGGTAAGACTGGACCAAATGCTGGGCGGCCCAAGATATGACCTAAGACGTGGCCCTTCAGATCCCTATGATATTGTATACGCTATATGGCACATTTCTGCCTTTTGGCTGATTTTTTTGGATGAAAAGGCAGAACTTGGTAACAGTTGGAAGATCCGGGTATGTCTGTAAGTGTGGATGGATTTCTTCTGCCACTGTGCGAAGTGGATGGTTTTTTCAGTTCCCGAGGGGGGGAACCACCAGCTCTTCTTGGGTAGCACCAGCGGTGCGAAGCACTGGTTGTTGGACGAACGCCCAACCGGAGCGGTTGACCCTTCACATCTGCCACTGTGACAAGACCTCATAGTACTACCTCCCTATGAAATTTGAGGTTGCATCATGTGCTGGACTGTGAGTGTACGAAACATGCTCTCAACATTGATTAGAGTTGGTCTCAAAGTCACGGCCTTCAAGCATTCCAGGAGAGAGGAAGATTGTAGGGACCCTCAAATAAAGAGGCTCGTCAATCCCTTTCAGACATCTCGAACACCACAAGATCGATCTTTGATCTCCAGATCTAGGCCTGGTCGTGGGCAGGCCCGGTGGTGACAGGGGGGCCTGGCGTAGGAAGCTTTGGACACCTTGTGCCACGGTCCAACTACCCTCGCTCAGGATCTCCTGAAAGCTGAGCAAGCCCCCCTTGTGGAGGAAGACGTGTTCTTCCAGGGGCCTAGTTAGAACCATGATTCTCGGAGGGACAAGTCAGACCAGTTAGAGTCATGCAGACTCTTGATGTCAAAAAAGTACAGCCCAAATGAGAGAGTTTTACTAGTCAAGAGTCTACATCACTGTTAGAACCACCTGAGATTCGGGAACTTCCCCGGTTCAGTTGGGTGGTTCTTCCGCGGCTTATTTTTTGAAGGGTTCCTTTGCGAAGGTCGCTTAGTCGCTTGGTCGCGTGGTCTTGTCTTTTGTGGACCTGTTTTCATCTGGTGCTACAGCATCCCCAATGCATCCGCTACAAGGTATGGCAGCAAGGCATGCAATAAACCTCACGTACCTACCTGCCCCGTACACCTCCCACCCATGTAAAGCCCTACTTGCCCACCTAGCCACAGTCATCCCCAAGAAGAGACAGAAAATCAAGAGAAGACATCCGAAGACAAATGTCCGAATGTTGGGATTGTTCCATACTCCATCTACACTCTCACAAATGACAAAGTGTCACAAAGCAACACACACACACACACATGTCGAAAGCACATTTTTGGATAAAGGTATCCAACAACACAAGACTAATCCAAATGCTGGACGCCCACTTTTCCGCCTACTGGACGCCTCCTGCACCCATGTCATACAGCAAACCCAAGAAAGCAGGAGTTGGACTTCGACGTTGTGGGATTCGCCACTTGAAAAACCAGCGTCCACCAAGAGGGGGGGGCACAAGGAACCCAAGGCTTGCCGCTCCCTTTCGATGCGAAGCCTCGCTGCGAAGCCTCTCTCAGGTCGACGCTGGGGTTCTCTTCCCCCGGAGGTTGAAACTCACACCGACTCATACCGACTGCTGCGTCCAGGGGCGGCGCGGCACGCGGCCAGGCGCCCGGTTTTTCGCGGTGGATGGCATGGGAGGGAAGCGACACACCGATACTACCACTCCCCTTTGTCCAGTGACCGCGTGGAAGACTCTTGGCCTCAACCCCGTGGGTCCTCAGGGTCGACTGACCGCCTTCGCCGGAGAGCCACCGGAACGAGGATGGATGGGTGAAGGGGAAGATGCCTCCACTCCTCCACTCAACTCTTGCTTGTGGACACGTGAAGGCTTTCCGCGGCTTTCCATTGGCTTGCTCCGTGTCTGATAATCCTGATATGTCCATGGGTGAACTTTGGATTTGAGGGTTTGCCCTATTTGGGAGCCAGACAGAGGGAAACTGTGCAAAAGTGTTCTCAGAATTTCATGTTATACTGCGATCTACTGGACGATGAGGATTTTGATGTGTGGGTGCCCAAGGTCGAAGAACTATTTCAGGAGTGAGAGACACGAGCGAGAACTATTTCAAAGACATTCAACGAGTTTGTTTTGGTTTTCTCAACTGTTGATCAAGAAGTGAGAATTTACCAACTAATTCCGAGCCTGTTTGATTGATAATTGATATTTACCAGGACCATGTGTTTGGCCACCCTGAGCTTTGCTGAAGTAGCTCTGGGCTTCCATTGGACAGCCCTTCTTGAATGGTTTGGGTTGGATTTTGTCACAGAAGAACCACATCTTCTTGTCTTCTTGGACAGTCCATAGACATTGGTGTACCATTTTTCAGTCTCAGGCCAGCCATGAACTCATCGATGGAACAGGTGCCCCGGGTCTCCACCTTTCCTCTTGGCAAAGCAATCCTAAGTCACAGTTCCTCGAATGGGGGTTGATCCAAGAAAGGTCTGACTGGGATTGCTTTGCCAGGAGTTCGACTTGGAAACCTCTCCCGTGGCCGTTTGGTTGGCAGGTTATGGGATTTCAGGGGAAACAGCAATCCCATCCTGGGTCTCCAACAAGACCGAATTGCTCGAACACACCATGCCACACCTTGGCATCTTGTTTGAAGGAGCATTGTTAGGAGAACCAATGGCCCATATATGGATCAATCCAAATTGAAGTTCAGCACTGTTGTGATGTGTTTGCTCGATTTTTGCTCGCTCACAGTGCTTCCTGTTCAACGGCATTCCGGCCTGCAGGAGACGCGTTTCTCTGAGACAAAAGAAGAGTGGCCGTCAGGGCAGCCCCCAACCAAGTGGACTGTCAATGCTTGAGAAAAATCTTCTCCTTTGCGGATTCTACCAGTTTTGAACTTTCCCACAGGGTCTGAGATTCTCCACCCATGAGAGGGTGACACCTGCAAGTGATGCTTTGTCAGAAACTGTCAGACATCCGTGCAGTTCTGTCAGAGACATCCTTGACAAAAAGAAGCAGTGCTGTTGCACCCATTTCTTCAAGACCACCATTTCCTGCTTCGCCCCGGTCCGGGAACCGGTTTCGGCATTGCTCGGTCCGCGCAGCTGACACGACCACGACCACGACGATGAGTCGTCCGCGGACGAGTCGTCCGCGGACGGTTGCGGAGGGAGGGGGGATGAGGAGGGATGAGGGGGTCCAGGAAAAGACTCACTTGGTGAGAAAGTGGGGGTGGGGGGTGTTCTTTTGAAAAATACCACATCTGGTTTTCCTTTTTTAATATTTTATTCGGAGGCGTTTTGTGGAGTGGTCTCATTATTGTCGGGGAGACCCTTGGGAGCGAGATTTCTGTCAGATGGGCAGGGGTCGCTGAGCACTCTGGTTCAAGCCGTGTGCCACTTCAACTACCTGAGTACCGAACTACTTTTGTGCCTTGAAGCAAGAGATACTTTGTCTTTTATGAGATTTTGTTCTGAGTTGTTCTTGATCTTTTGATGCTTTTTGTCATGTCAAATGTTATGTTTCGGGTGTTCGGAATTTCCATGGTTTGTCGAGAACTCTCGGATATCCTCTGTCACATGTCCTTATCCTCAAGTGGAACAATCTACTCTTGACATCAACATATGTCATCAATAAAAACATGTCAAGGCAAACACTCAAGAGGAACAAATACCGTATCTTCGTAGCTGGAGGGAAAACTCATTTGGACCAGACCCCCAGAACCCCAAAATCGGCCAGCCATCTGCGGGCCATCGGCAAGCCGGTTCGCAAAGAGGTGGACTTGACACAAGCAGCTGTGTGGGGCCTTGCCGGTGCTGTGTGGGGCCTTGCCGGTGCTCAGGAATTCCATGCTGGCACAATGAGATGTTGGATCTTCCTGCTCCTCCTCGGAGGAGTTGGGGTGCCCAGATGGTGTGATCAGCTCCTGGGAGTCACAGCATCTGCGGTACAACCTGGAGCCACCGATGTTGGAACGGCCCAGATTCCGACTCGACAGCGCTTCGACTTCCGGAAGCTTCTTCGAAGGGGCAGGAAAGGTCGGAGACATGAAGAACGGCATGAAGGAACGGGGGTCTCATCCAGACGTCCGTAACGGACCGGCGGTCAGCGATACGTAGTTTTTTCTCTTTTGTCTTTTTCTCTGGTGACGGGGCTCAAAGGATTGGAAGCACAACTGTACAAGGTCAGTTTTCGGGAGTTCTGCATCTTGCTGAATCTGTAGAAGAGATCTGGAGAAGACACACTTTTCTGAGTCTCTCAGGGGGACTTGTTGTTATTTTTTCCCCACCGAGTGGATGCACAGAATAGACGACCTATGGGAGGTCAACCTACCAGGGTTTAGGGCATCGCTCTTGCTCTCTGGATTTCGACCCACGGCCATGCAATTGATAGACCTTGCATGAGTTTGGAGACAGGCTTATCAGAGGCACTTAACAGACTTGTCATAATTCTCAAATTGAGCACTTCCAAATGGCAAAACCATTGTGTGATGACGAAAAGAAACAAGAACCATGAACTATGTATAAGGACTACTGTATAGATCTGTATATAGTACAAAGTATATAAAGTGGTTTTAGACCAACTTGTGTCTGTAAAGTACCTTGGTTGCTTTGAATATTGACCAACCATGGATTCGTTGACCAACGAGAGAACGAAGGGAACGGGTCCCGCGAACCACGGGAGAACGGCCACGGCCTTTCCGTGCTTCCGTCCGACTCCTTGGTGGAGGACGCTACTAGTAACAAAGGGCATCGCTACGAACGGAGCAATGATGCTACGAACGGGGCTCCTGGCCTTACTACTAGGAACAAGAAGCTACTAGGAGCTCTTGGTCCACTTGGGGGACATTCTTCCATCCTCCACACAGAATCCACCGAACAAGTCTGAGAAACACGCTCACTGAGGCATCTGCTTTGGTGCGCATGCATTGGTCCCAAGCCGCGCATGCGGGTGATTCTCTTCTGTCCCTTGGGCGCAGTCCGCGCTTGTCGGGAACAAAGAAGGATTGTCGAACGAACGATGCGACGGCAAGGTGAAATGTCGTCTGCAGTGATCCTCCATGATCCCCAGTGATCCTCCATGATCCCCATTCAATAGATAGTTTCAGGATTTCCTGCGTACATTTTGCTTCTCCTGCGGTGGCAATGGCAATGGCCTCGCGTATGTTGTTCGAGGTGTCGGGGTCGCTCGGTGGTCGAAATCTGCCAGGCCAGGTGTGAAAGTCTCCTCACACACCTGGCCTCCTTCGTTGTTGTTCTGGTGGTAGGGCCTGGTAGGGCATCTAGTCTATGTTGTTTTACCCCTGTAGATGACCGTCGGAATCCACTTCGTTTCTACCCAACCCATGGCGCAGCTGGTCATTGGACTTGACCATGCTGGTCTCACCATTCCATGTCCCGGAAGGACTCCAAACGCTGTCAGGACACCGTCTGTTCGGTGTCTCAGGCCGCTCACGGCCGCTCCAACCCCCAGGCGTTGAGCCCATGACAACGAGCCAATGGCGGTTCTTTACGCCAATGGCGTTCTTGAAACGTGCGCCAGTGTGGCCGTTGGTTCTGAAGTGAACCTCTTGTTCTGAAGTGAACCAACGGCCTCCCAAAACGACCGGGGACCTTTGGGGAGACCTTTTGACCCGGCAAGTGATTTGTTCATTTTCCTGTCCAAAAGCACAAATCAGCGGCAGTCGGAGATGTGGCCAGTCGGAGATGTGGTCCCTATTCAGATATATTTAGATATGATATGACTCTACATGGGGAACCCCAGACAAGGCCATGTTCATTCTGTTTCTAAAGCTAAATTTCTGTGGGAAGAATGATTGACAGCTACAAATAACGCACCTGCATCCTTCATTCACGGCAGATTCAGAGTAGACTGTAAGTGTTTTTGCCTATTACCATTATATCAAGTAACAATATATAGTATACAATATATATATATATGTATTTGATCTTACACATGAGTTTACCACATACCCTTTTCTTTCCTGACCGGGCACCGTACGAGGAGTCCAGCGCTTGCTGCGCCGAACGAAGACCTTACTTTTGCTGCTCAGTCGGTTTGTTGGGTGGGGATTGGTAGGGCATGTCTTGGAGATTTCTCTAATCCCTCTGGGAGATCCTTAGAATACAAAAACTTCTTGGAATCGGAAGGACGCAACTGGCACTGGAAAGAGTTTTCGAGGTTAGAAGGGAGACTTCAATTCAATACTCATATATATATATATATATAACCAAACAACCTATAAATGCTTTCGAAATCATAAGAAGGCTAGTTGATGGGGCATCCGCCCAGCTTCTTTTTTAAAGATTTCTCAGCTCGTTGGCGGTGTCAATTTTTGGCTAACCGAGGACCATGATTGAGAGACCGTCAAAAGTTTGGCCTTTCACATAAGCCACAGACTCCTGACTTGCAGAATCATTCCGCAGAAAAGATCCTCTAGATTGGCAAAACCTTGGCCATCAACTCTATATATAAGCAGTTTCTTGCCATCACTTGCAGACACCACAGAGACCCAGCCCTTTTCAATCAGAACCGTGACCTTTGCAATTGTTGGGACCCCCAACATCCGGAAACAAAGCACACATTCGGTTAGACGCTTGAGCCAGAAGGATGAAGCCAGCTTGAAGCCACCAAAAGTGGTTTAACCCGAATGGTACAAAAAGGGCTTCAGAAGCTTGTGCTCTGCTTTTGGTATCTTGATCTGTCTTTCTTCTCCACGGCCGCCGAGGCGCAGTTGTTTTCAGCCGCTCCGGTCGACTGTGTGTCGGTCTCTCATGGCTTTCTGGACTCCGCTGCGAAAGATCATGGGAAGGTGCTGATACCTTGCTTAGGAACGAGCAGAGTCCAATGCACAAGTTTTGTTGTTTCCTCAACTTTCAAGGACTTGTTGGAAGAGGGAACGGGTGGGACATGAAGCCTAAGTGGGGCTAGTAGAATGCTCACCTTGAAACATGCACACGTCGGACTTAATCTGCTGAGGCCAAGTCACGGAAACACAGAAACACATCCTGGAGAGAACATGTTTAAAACCTCAGTTCATGGATATATGATATATGTACGATGTATATATATATATATATGTATACTGTATACTATATATATATAGATCCTTCCCGGAAAAGTTTCCCGGTGGTTTTCGCATGGATCGGGAAGTGACTTTCAGAACTGCATTTCAGACCAACAGCACTTGGGGCAATGGTTTCAGTGTGTCGTCCTACTGCCAGGGCACCCCCAGCCCACAAACACGAACTCCAAAGTTTTGCCTCCAGGGCTATCTCCGGTGGGTCTCGTGTGCAGGACTATTGCCACCTCATCCAACACATTCAGCCGTCAGGGCACCCGACAGGGTCAAAAGCGCCCGCTGAGGGAAGAGGAGGACACGCAATTTTCCGGGGGCGAGGTTAATAAGCAGCTCTTGATTGATGTAAGCAAGAGACGCAAGAGCATCCAACGCAGGTGGGACCTTTTGCAAGGTTGCCAGTACAGTTTTTTTTTTTTTTTCAGATTCAACATCTGACTTTCAATGTAGCCGATACAGGATCCCCAGGGACCACTGAGACCGGAAATCTGCAGTTGTGACCTCAAACTCATTGGGGACGACAAAGATATTTTAGACCTCAGACTCGTTCAGATCAGCAGTCTCTTTTTCAGTGATTTGTCTTCCTCACGGGAAGATGAAGTGGTCCTTCTTGTAGCTGAGCCATAGCCAAAGGACCTTAAGACACGTGGCGAAACTAAGCAGATCCAACTACTGTACATACTTGGTTTGGATTTTCAGGTTTCATCTGCGTGCGCAGAAAGCACGACCCCGATGTGAATTGTGACAAACTCATATGGCCGTGCCACTCGTTTCTCGTGCGCTTCTCGTCGCTAACGCAGCGATCCAGGTGAGCCAAACCGCCACCCTGTGACAGGTCGATTGAGCGTGGCTTCTTTCTCTGGCATGGTCGAAGCAGCATTCTGTAGTTTCAAGGCATACAGTGCTTCAAGTTCTAATGGAACGCTGCGTTCGCCAGCGTTCGATTCATTTTATTCTGAGGTACTATAGCATTCCCTTGCTGGTGCTTTGGGTGTTGCTGCTGCTGTGGCTCCTCAATGATACCGCTCCTCGGTCCAGCATTTCACACACGTTTTTGGCCGAAGCACACGTTTCTGGCCGCATGACTTGATCGATCCGAGTGGCATAAAAATAAATGTAAGGCTTCGTTTGATGCATCCAAATGTTTTTTCTAGTGTTCCTTAGGTTTATGATGGCTTCCATGTTTTGGAGGGATTAACAATGTACTTCAATCGTTAGTGATATACAGACTCCTTGCACTAGTCTATGGTGATAATTTATCCCTTCTTGCTACAGACTACTCTGAAAAGCACAGGTGGAAACGGTCGATAAAATGGTCGATTAGTGAAAGTATAGATAGGGGGAGCTTCGAGGGTGAGCGCTTTTGCACTTGGCGGGAAGGAAAGCCACTCTTGGAAGTGGTAGAGAGATGCATTATATATCGGGAAATCATCCGTGGAGGGTCAAAACCCAGAGCTCCAAACCCTGGTAGGTTGTGACCTCCTTAGTCGTGGTTCTCTGTTGATTTTCGCTGGTCAACATTCTTTTCACCTAGTTTGGACCATAGCCAATGTGTAGTTATCCAGAGATCTAGATTCATGAGACTGTGGTGGTCGCAATTCTTGGATGGCCAACAAAAAGGTGCTTTCTTTGGTGGACTGCTGTGAACGTGAATGACTGCAATGAACAACACACACACTTGCCAAGAAGATGTGCACAGCGCTGGTCCCCCACAGGCACCGCTTGAGCCAGTTTTTATGATTGGTGTTGGGATATTCTGGTTTGTCCACAACGACCAGACAGCAGAATCCAAGACATATGGCGCAAACATCATAGCAACCACTATGATGATGAGGTGTCTACTGTCTAATGTTTTTTTTTGTTTTTTGTTGACAGGTCCTTTGTTGCTGGTTGTTTACAAGTGCCAAATGATGCTGGCAAACAATGGATCAAACTTCTAGTGAGACAAGAACTACCTCCACTGAAGGCATCGCAAGTCACACCACAGACCCCATCATCATATCAGATCACTGCGTTGCCTGCTATAAAGTGAGGGAAGGTCCCCTTTAAGAAGGGCGCCTTGAATGTTCTTCCTTCTGTGACGTTTGTCTCTACCCGGCACGCCAAATTCCAAGCATCAAACATCACACTCCCAGATGCCAAGCATCAGCTGTGTTACATGAGAATTTGACCCAATTGATGGTTTTGGGATGTTTTGGGTTATATAGCCCCCCTGATCTGTTTCTTTATACTGTATTTCGAGGGTTGACGATGACCATCCGCCGAGTTTCCAAACAAGCCAGACATTTCTCGCCCTGATTTGGGTTTTGGATTTGCGGAGAAGGAACATACCATGGCTAAGTTCCTTGGAAGTGGGGAAGTGGGGGACATGTAAACGAGCAAACATCAGATGTGTGTCGAAATCACACCAGTTGCGAAAACAGGTGGACTTTTTTCATCGTCCCAACTGTGCTCAGTCCATCCTTAAGCCGTCCCAGGCTGAGGTTTACTTCGTTCCACCTTTAAGGCGGCTGATGGGCCTTGTTGAGAAAACACATCGGTCACGTCGGTGACACCGAACGGTGAGTCGAGGGCGTTTCGGTGAGGGCGTTTCGCCCGATTTCGGCTGGTCGTCTCGGTGGCTCAACAGCCGTTTCAGTGATATGGAGTCCAAGAGGTGTTCTGAGAGAATCTGGCTGCTTTGTGAGGCTTGGTTCTGGCTCTGTTCTCGGGGCGTAGCGCTAACAGGTACAGATCTTCTCCACTGAACGAAAACCGCCACCTGAGTCAGTGATTTCCGACTTCTGCCAGAAGGGTCCATTCTTTGTTCAGTTGCTGGGTCCGTTCTTTGTCCAGTTGCTGATCCGACTCCATGGTCTAACAAAACCCTTCCTGTGGGACCAAATCCTTTGAGTTCAAGGGTATCTTTTTGGAACTGTAAGATGAATGTTGAATGGACTTTGGATGGTCTTTACGGTGAGGTTCACTCCCGGTGCATTCACATTGAGTTCACACGGCTTTTTTTTTCTACACAGGATCACCCAAACTCGCTGGGATGTTCCAACACGGAAGACCCAACGACGGTTCTTCTGAGATTCTGGGAAAGAATCCGGCGTGCCATGGACTAAAAAAAGCCAAACCAGGAAGAAGAACTTAAGTTGTTCGGGATGAACAAGCAATAGTTCTGAAACCCTCAGTTGACAGGCCTTTGCAAGATCGTTTCGAACACCAATCAATTGAATTGGCTCGCTGTGACAGCAAGAGATGTTTCGGAGGTTCTTGACAGGGAAGTCCAAGTGGCACAACCCGTCCATCAATCGATCAACACGACCAGAAGGAATTCCACTGCTCCGCCACCGATCTGATCGCTCCGCCAGGTACTGGTCGGCGCGCTTGCGCCTCAGCCCCTGCCTGGCGGGCGCCACTCTGGTGGCCGTCGGCAACGGTGCTCCCGACTTGGTGATGACCGCGCTGGCCGGGGGGCCGGGCCCGGCGGCGCCGGGTGCGGCCGGGGGTGCCACCGCTGACTTGCGGTTGGCAAGTGGGTCATGGTGGAGAAGCATGGTGGAGAAGTGTGGAGAACGTTGGTTCGGGGGGTTGGGGAAGGCTGCTAGAGTTCTTTTGATGTTGGACAGTGGGTAGCCATAGGTGGGAACTTGAAAGATCGTAGAACTGGATGGTTGATTTGCCTTGCTCACACTTTTTCGATCAAGCATGGAGATTGTCAGAATCCAGAAAGGGTTTGGAATGTTATTCCATTTTGTTGCAATGCTTTACCTCCATGCTCAGATGTCGGATGACATGAAACTTAAATGAAGAGATACGTATTGAACCCTGATCAAAATGGTGTGGGTGAGAAGATCGGATTCATGCCTGCACAGCTTCCATTTTTGCTTCAAGGAAGCACAACAACTTTCTTACTTTCTTAGTTCTGGCAATTAAGATCTATCAGATCCCACAAGTCCTCCACTTGCCGACCAATAGCTGCTTTCGGTTGCAAGCAACACTTCCTAAGTGGGGGCGGTCAGATCACCGCCGCCCAGTGCGGATGCGATCGGGAGTGCGCAGGCACCAACCACCTTGGAGTCCCTCCACATCGTCATTTGCGACACAGTATGCCGGGGGTGCCCAGAGACGGTGAACAGTCCAGCGAACGTATTTTCAATCCGGAAAGAAGATCGATGTTTAGCACTTCACTGCGGAAAGAAGGCCTTGGGTTTGTTTGGAGTTTTTTTTGCCAGTTTGATGGAGCTTGGCAATGGAGCTGCGAGCTTGCAGACAGCACCCTTTTTTTCGTGCTCGGCAGTCGGCAGCTGTCCATGCTAGGACATGGGAAACACAGCTACTCAGCGCTGCCAGATTCTTGTTCAGACATCCAGGGAAAACAGCTCTCCACTCAGGCATCCTTTGTGTCGCGGGTGGTGCGGTTGTTTATCTCCGAGCAAGCTCGGGGACCTGGCTGCGGCATGCCATCTACTTCTATGATTGTTTCATATTATTTCAGGGAGTGTAAATGTTTGGACCTTTTTTGTCCAACAAAGCTGTAGGACGTGTGAAGAAAAAACATGCCATGAAGGTCCTCGTCACGGGGCCATGGTCACGGAGGCTTTGAGATGTCCCACGCGTTCGTTCCCTGGTGCTCCCATGGCCTCCATGGTGGTTCCAAGCTGGAAAGGTCTCCCATGGCTTGGACAGATCAAGCCTCAATTGGTTGCCGTGGACAGCTTAAATCCATGGCCTGAACCACGCTTGAAAGTTCAAGTTTTAACACACATGTGCAATTGATGTTCAATTTGGTTAAGCTCTTTCTTCCATTGGGGTATCATGTTTGCTTGCAGGAGCAGGATCTTTAGTCAGTAGATTTGTGTAAGACAAAACCCATGAGTCTCTTATCCGTGGCACCAAGGAGCTCAACTAGAGACCAAGGAGACGCGGGGCAAATCGGCCCGTGGTCGTCTCGGTGGTGTTTCCCTCCCGCCGAGACGACCCCGGTGTAGCTGAGCCGCGCGGCGCGGTGTGGGCGCGGCGTGTCTACAGTTGGCAGGTGGCTTGGTGCGCTTTTTGAGGGGATGAATCTCGGATTCTGGCTGGGTGTCTGCCAGCCATCATTGGGATGAGTCATGGAACTGTTTATTGTTCTGTGCTCCGCACCGCGGGCTGAGCTGCTCCTAGAGGGTCCCAAGTTCGGCGGTGTTTGTGGCAAGGTAACATGCAGGAACTACTGTTCCACGCACGTCTACGTTGTAGCATTCGCCCTGTAATATAAATGCCTCCTCCCGAGTTTGGACTGGCTTCAGCTCGGGAGGCATCAGGGTATTTTTCCCAGATTTCTTGGCAGAGTAGCTGTTGGTGTAGGTATTGAACAGAGTAGCTGTACCTGTAGTGTTTCTCTTTCCATTCACGACCCACATCGGTATTTGACAGGAGACACGTTCAATGTCACTTCAGAGTAGGTCTATCTCTTCATTGCCTGCCCTGGGAGGTCGATTTTTTTTTTGGAACACCAAGAGGTTCGGAATCTGCGGGCAGATGTAGATGGCAAAGCCTCGAATCAGGGAGGACCGGGTAGATGGCTTTGCCTATCCTCCAACACAGCCCATTGACACTGACCCATTCGTTTCAGGCATTCCCTGGGTTCGAAACAGCCCCAGAAACAGCGGACATATCTAGCCTAGCGGAAGTTCTGGAAGGTTCAATGATCCATATCAGCCATGTGCCGACCTCGGACAGCCATGTGGCTGCGGGTCAAAACAAGGGGGACCTTGGTTGACCACCTTGGTTGAACAGAATAGACCAGAAGGGACATTGTTTTGGGGCTCCAGGTTCTGACCTGCACTCATGTATAAACCAAGAAAGGTACCACGCAAAAGGTAGGCCTAACCTTCTAGGGTCACACCCACAAGTGCACAAAGCAGCTATATAGACTTACTGTAGACAGATATATCACAGATAGCACCAACCTGTGGCTCCGCGGCTCTCGACACTCGCAGCCAGGATCCCAGGAGCATGTCAGAAGTCGAGCCGTTGAATGGCAGCACCTATGTGTTGGCACCCAGCATCTGACAGAGCGACCTCCGATCCACCAATAGTGTTGGCACTTGCGTCAAATCTATAAGTTTGGCTATAGCATGGGTGGACAAGGGAGCAACACAAGGAAGTACGGGTTAGTAGGTGCCGCTGGGGTAAGCACCAGCCCCACATGTTTTTTGGCCCTTCCATGTTTACAAGGCCACCTGTTTTTTGCTTGGAACCGTGGGGAGAAGGCAGAAAAATGCAGATTGGGAACCAGGCCGACGCATTGGCAACTTGATGTCGAAAAAGCAGTGAATTGGTAGACAACCCCCCCCTGCAAGCCCTTTGCAGAATCACCGAGTCTTGAGCGGAACTGCCTCAGTGACTCCGTACTTTCTGGGGTGTTGCTCAGCGAGAAAAAGTCCGAAATTTAGTCAGTGGACCTGTTCCCTTGCAATGCCTTGTTCCTATTTTTCTATCCCCCATGCCAAAGACCACTCTAAAGGGATGTATGATATGACTGTTCCCCTTGTCAAACGGCTGTTCATGTGGTTCAACAAAGACTTTGGAATGCTAAAGCAATTTTCCATTTTGCAGTGAGGTTTGCGATTTACTTTAAAACAATCACTCCACAGCCTAGAGGAATATCCTCCTGTGGATAAATGTAGACGGTTGATGATTCAACAACTCCTAGCTGGATTGTAAAGCATCTTCAGGCACGTATTTTTCATTTTTTGAAAAAGAAATAGATCAACAGTCTACTGTAGACCGTTGATGAATCACCGCCATGAAGCATCCCATTCTTCATCTTGGTGTGTATCAAAATAGGGCAACCTCTCTCGCACCCGTGGAAGAATGGACATCTATAGACCAGTCGACTACCCATTGGGAGACGGGGTGTCCCTAGTGAAGTACCACTGGCGCCCATCCGGTCTGCCATCCCGGCAGTCTCAAGCGGAAGCCTCAAAGCCTCAGGTGGCTGGTGCTGCATGGCTTGGCTTAGCCCTGGTGTTCCCCTTAGCTGCAGCTCTGAAAACAGGCGTTTTGCCACAGGTAGTCAACAAGTCAGGAGGATCTTTTTTACAGCAACAAGTCGAAGAACCACGGGACTACAAGCGCGTTCCAATTACTGCCAACAAGACCTTGATGGTTTTTGCACCAAAGAAGGGATCATACGGCTCCCTCAAAATCGCCTTTTGGGAACCAACCATCATACACGGAATCAGTTGGATCTCGAGTCAACTAGCCTTTTCACAGAACTGCGCCGACTAAAACCATCCCCCAGAGGTTTTCTGAGTTCAAATGGGCAAGGACTGTCCGTCCAAACCATGGCCATCCATGGCCATCCCTGGGTCATCCCTCTTTTTTCGGACCTTGTCCTCGGTCGGTCCAGTCGACTTGTTTCAGTACTCCGAGCTCCGTCTTGAGGCCTATTTGTTGGGTCTTCTGGTGTCCAGCCAGATCAACTTGGGAGCCGCCTTGGTGATGCCAACCATGCAGCTTGGCGTGAGGCTTTCAAGATCTTGAAAAGGCTTGCATGTGTTGAGGACCACTGCTTCGAAGGTTAATGTGTTTGGCAGAAGGGGGTGGCTTGTTTAAGCGATTTGTTGAGCCTGAAAGGGCCTAAAGGTCAATCGAACACCGCGGTGTTTTGCTAACTGGCACCGTACTTTTGAGTCATAGCCATATTATGGAATTTACCTGTTACAGTACGATGCCTTTGTCGTGCTAGATCATCTTGTGCTTGGCTGTATGATGCTCACACTTGTGCTGTCTTGCGCATTTCTGTGACTGCAATGCAGCAGGAACGTCCCAACAACTCATGCGCAAACTATTCATAGAAGGATTTCACACTTCAGCAATGAACTTTGGGTTTGTTGACAAATAAGAACAAGAACTTCCCAATCCCCCCCCACTTTGGTCTGAGAAAGAAGACTCTACACCTGAAGCCTCACCATGAACATTCCCTTCCCCATCTCTCGATGTGAACCCTTCAGCAATTTGTTCTGAGCCCCTCAAGCTTGGCAGGTGATTTTTCCTTTGGAAACACCTGGACAATGGTTGAAGGCACCCATGTGGGGCCTTATACAAAGTTGAACGCTTTTGGGTCTTCTTTGCCTTGTGAATTCCCCAATAGCCATGCTATGGGGTCTTGCAAAACTAATAGGCGGACGGGCGCCGATGGTGTCCCGGTCATGTTTTGATGGCGTCCGGGTCATGTGATGCTGGTGTCCCGGTCATGTTTTGATGGTGTCCCGATCATGTTTTGATTGTGACCCAGTCATGTTGTGATGGTGTCCCGGTCCTGTTTTGATGGTATCCCGGTCATGTTTTGATGGTGTCCCGATCATGTGATGGTGTCCCGGTCATGTTGTGATGGTGTCCCGGTCATGTGATTGTGTCCCGGTAATGTTGTGATGGTGTCCCGGTCATGTTTTGATGGTGTCCCGGTCGTGTTGTGACGGTGTCCCGGTCATGTTTTGATGGCGCGGTCATGTTGTGATGGTGTCCCGGTCCTGTTTTGATGGTGTCCCGGTCATGTTTTGATGGTGTCCCGGTCATGTTGTGATTGTGTCCCAGGCATGTAATGGTGTCCCGGTCATGTTGTGATGGTGTCCGGGTCATGTTTTGATGGTGTCCCGGTCGTGTTGTGACCGTGTCCCGGTCATGTTTTGATGGTGTCCCGGTCCTGTTGTGATGGTGTCCTGGTCATGTTTTGGCGGTGTGCCGGTTATGTTTTGATGGTGTCCGGGTCATGTGACGGTGTCCCGGTCATGTTGTGATAGTGTCCTGGTCATGTTGTGATGGTGTCCCGGTCATGTTTTGATGGTGTCCCGGTCATGTTGTGATGGTGTCCCGGTCATGTTTTGATGGTGTCCCGGTCATGTTGTGATGGTGTCCCGGTCATGTTTTGATGGTGTCCCGGTCGTGTTGTGACGGTGTCCCGGTGATGTTTTGATGGTGTCCCGATCATGTTTTGATTGTGGCCCAGTCATGTTGTGATGGTGTCCCGGTCCTGTTTTGATGGTGTCCCGATCATGTTTTGATGGTGTCCCGGTCATGTTGTGATGGTGTCCCGGTCATGTTTTGATGGTGTCCCGATCATGTGATGGTGGCGCGGTCATGTTGTGATGGTGTCCCGATCATGTTTTGATTGTGTCCCAGTCATGTTGTGACGGTGTCTCGGTCATGTTTTGATGGTGCCCTGGTCATTGTGTGATGGTGTCCCGGTTATGTGATGATGGTGTCCAAGGAAGAGATGGTCGATGTGTTGAAAACAGCAGCTGTTTCCAGATTTTTCTTTTTGTCCCGGTTTGTATCTTGCTATTGGGGTCTCCAGCTGGGCTAATTTCATGCGTCTTACTGGCGTTCACGGTGCCATCATACTGGTAAGCCGTGTGATCAGACCGTTTCTTTTGTGCAGAACGTTCTGCGTTTCGTGTGCCTTTTCAGACAACCCGTTCTCTGTAGAGACGATGAAGTCAACTCCGCAACGGCAAGTCCTCCGCCCACACACGAGCGGTTTTCCCGTCCGCCGCTTTCGGAGCTCCGGAATTCCGGCCCCAAGGTATATCGGTTTTATGGTGACTTTGTCGTACCTGGACAATGGTGCCCTGGCCAGGAGAAAAAAAGTGCAGCGGGATATGAAGAGGTCCAAGAAATCAAAGTTGAAGCAATTTGTTTAAGAGCTTCAAGTCGTTGTTGTTGTTGTTGTTGTTGTTGCTGTTGCGACTGTTGCTGCTGTAGCATCTGCAAAAAAGATCTTATATAATTACCAATTCAAGAATCCTAAACCGTCCGTAAAGCCCCAAACTAAATCCTTGGGGGGGGAACCTATATGAATTTGCCTTGCCGAAGAATAAAGGCTGATGAGGAAAACCTTACCCTGGGGGGAATGACACCCTAACCGAATCTGTTTTGCTGAAGGATTAAGACTGATGAAGCACTACCCACTGCCTGCCCGAAAAAAAGAGGTCAACATGTCTAGTGACCGAAATTCTTGCTGGGCTGAGAAAAACATGGATCAAACTGGTCTATTTTAAGTTATACTGGTTTCAGAGTAGATAACACCAACCCAAAGATGTCCTTTATATTGGGGTCCATACAAACCACCTTTTGGGGATTGTGCCATCTACTCTGAAACCACTGTACCTTAATTGGCTGAAACTCTTTGCGCTCGTGCTGATCCCCCTGTACCTTCTACTTTCTGACTTGGTGGTTGTCAGCTCGAAAGGGAGAACCTGCTTTCGGTGAAAGAAACTCAGCTGGGGAGGATGTGAATCTATGTGATGGTCCTTTTCTTTCGGGGCCAGTTCTGGGCACTATCCTTGGCTCGATCCAAAGGTATTTGAGAATGCATTGTGATCGCATACTTCGCTGATCGCAAGGACGATGTTCATCCGGAATCAGAGTTCTATACGCCAAATCCACCAAGAGTCCGCGTGCACATCGCTGCCTGCCCTTCGTTCCATGGCCTCAACATTGATGCTCCACATCCGATTCGGCTCCAAGCTTGGAATGTCAGGATGAGAGGAATCGAGTCGCGTCCAGCGTTTAAAGGCGACCGAGTCTCCAACGAGCCGCTTAGACTTAGACGCTGCGGATGACGTGGAGTCTCCAACCTGCAAAGAATTCGGCGAGGAGCGAAGAAACGGCTTTCTTGATAGAGCTTGGTGGCATTTCCTGTCTGCCTCTGTGAACGATATAAGTATTTCCGCACCCCCCTGGTCCTGGTCCCAACACGGATTGACAAAGAAGAGTGTATGGCAAAGCCCATCCACCGGAGACGCCCACTTCAGAGTGTATGGACGCCAACCCATGATTGCCAAAGAGCTGCCGATGAGTTGTATGTGCTTCAACCCATCATCATCAGTGCAAGGTACCGTGCATCGACCATCGACCCCTTTGTTTTTTTCCCACAAGGATATCATTGCCCTCCATGGTGCACTTTGACTTGACTCCAAGTTCTGAAGAACTCTGCCCCCCCCCCCACAGAGACCCACCCGTACAGAGCTGCAAGAACATCGGCGCGCATGAACATCGGCGCGCGTCCGAGGTGTTGGTTTTTGGGACCCTTGGGAGTCTTGAACAGAATATTATGCCGTTCCTGGAAACAGAGTCCTCAACAAAATGATCTGGATGCGAACTACATTTTTTACAAAGCACTGCAGATGTAGCCGGGAGCAAGTCCGGGCAGTCCAAATTCGCACCCACATCTCCACTAGATCTCCGACTCGTTGGTTGCAATCCCACACCAACCAAAATTGAACACTGATTACTTTTTAGCGCTTAGCAAACATCCACAGCTGAGAGTACCCCCTCCCCAGCTCTGCTAAAGGACTCTCATCCAAGCAGATGCTTTACTACTAGTAGCTTCTTGTTACTAGTAGTAAGAATGCTCTTAGTAGCGATGCCAGGAGCCCCTAATAGCGTCCTTGCTCCTAGTAGTAAGGCCAGGAGACCCTAGTAACCCTAGTAGTTTCTTGTTACTAGTAGTAATGGCCTCCACCCTAGTAGGTACATTTTTTGCATCGGAGCCGATCAGGTGCGCCCTTCGAAGTGGAGCCGGTGATGGGCCCAGCGCCAATGCTGCCTGGCCTTGCGCCGCCGAAGGTACCGGACGCCGAAGCTTGGGTGGACGTCGGTGTTTTTGGAACTCCCAACGAATGCCCAGCCAACTCTACAGGTCTCCGAGTCTTTTTTGGCTGAAATGGAGACTTCAAAATCTTGGTGGCTGATTACTGGTGACCTGGCAGTTTTTGGGTGCTGGTTTAGACCCAGACACTCCGTGAGACTCGGATATATGCAGTCCCATCGACCCTGTTGAGAAACCACTACTGATCGATCTAATGTCGCCCGTCCCATTTGTCGTGTCTGGGATAGATGTGCTTTTTCCGTTCAGAATCGATTTTAAAGCCCCATCTACTTCTGTTGTCGTGGCACTCAAGAGCGAGCCTCAATGAGTGTAATGAGGATCCAGAACTATTTCGTCGTATTCAGAAACTATATTTTTGTTGTATTCAGAAGCTATTTTCGTCGTATTCAGAAACTATGTTCCTCGCATTCTGTAAATTGACAAACTTTAACGGTGTTTACTTGCAAGGACAGTTGATGTGTTGTCTAGGATGAAGGGGTGGGGTGGGGGGGGGCAGGGGGTAATAAACTTAGGTGGGCAGTTGCGTGGAAAGTTGATGTGTTCTCCAGTTTTTTTTGGATACAACGGTTTAGTCTCCGAATACAACTGTCCAGTTTCCGAATACCAGTTTCCAAATATCGGGTAGTTTCTGCAGTTTCCGAAAATAACCTTCCAGTTTCCGAATACCACCGTCCCAGTTTCCGAATATAACTGTTTAGTTTCTGAATACAACCTTTCAGTTTCCGAATACAGTACCAGTTTCCGAATACCACGCTGTAGTTTCTGAATACGAGCTATCGAATACAACCGTTTAGTTTTCGAACGCAATGGTCTCAGTTTCCGAATACAACCGTTTAGTTTCCGAATACAATGGTTTAGTTTCCAAATACACCCTTTACCGTGTAATGAGTTATTCACATGTATTATGTATTATTCGCATGTATTCATACATATATATATATATATATTATATTCATCCCATTTTGCAGGTCGTGCAAGCCAAGAGAAACTCGGTTTTTACTGCACCATGACCCTGCCCACAAGATCAACAGATCGACCCCTCCCCCCCAGCTGCAGCCACCGCGCAGGAGGGTGGTGTGGGAGAGACCATTTGGTGGGCACTGACAATGTGACTGGGCAATTTGAACAATTTTGAAGAGTCGTGACCGGTTGGAGGATGTTTTATTGAAGGCTCGCTTATGAAAAGAGGCTCCATTGCTGTTACTGAGTGAAGGGATTTGCTGCCATTTGCAGTGAAACACTTGACAAGGACGCCCCGCGGCGGGGCCTTTTTCAGGCTTTGGTTCACAAGCATAGCATATCACAGATTTTGCCACACAGAGGTTTATGTCAAGGGACAAGTTGGGGTCCCCGTTCGTGTGCATAAAACATGCCCAATGGTAAGCACTCTACGGCAAATGTAACACTTGAACAGCAGCCTGTTTCTGCCCAACGATCCTAGACTTTCAACGACTTTCATAAGATGTGTTCCCAGCTACTACTGGTGCTTTGGAGTTCTGAACAGATTTGGCACCTCCATGTTATTGTTCCCAAAAAGGTGGTTGGGTCGCTCTCTCTACAGGGCCTCCGGAGATCGGGCCCAATCTCAGCTCTCAACACCGACCTACTAGTGATGGCCTCCACCCTACTAGCGATGGCCTCCACCTACTGTACTAGCGATGGCCTCCAACCTACTACCAGCGATGGCCTCCACCCTACTAGCGATGGCCTCCACCCTACTAGCGATGGCCCCCACCTACCAGCGATGGCCTCCACCCTACTAGCGATGGCCTCCACCCTACTATAGCGATGGCCTCCACCCTACTAGCGATGGCCTCCACCCTACTAGCGATGACCTCCAACCTACCAGCGATGGCCTCCACCCTACTAGAGATGGCCTCCACCCTACGAGCGATGGCCTCCACCTAGCGATGGCCTCCACCCTACTAGCGATGGCCTCCACCCTACTAGCGATGGCCTCCAACCTACCAGCGATGGCCTCCACCCTACTAGAGATGGCCTCCACCCTACTAGCGATGGCCTCCACGCTACTAGCGATGGCCTCTAACCTACCAGGGATGGCCTCCACCCTACTAGTGATGGCCTCCACCCTACTAGCGATGGCCTCCTTCCTACTAGCGATGGCCTCTAAGCTGTTAGTGATGGCCTCCAACCTATTGGGGATGGCCTCCAACCTGCTAGGGATGGCCTCCAACCTACTAGGGATGGGCTCTAACCTACTAGCGATGGCCTCCAACTTACTAGGGATGGCCTCCAACTTACTAGCGATGGCCTCCACCCTACTAGCGATGGCCCCACCCTACTAGCCATGGCCTCCAACCTACTAGCGATGGCCTCCATTCTAGTAGCGATGTCCTCCAACCTACTAGCGATGGCCTCCAACCTACTAGCGATGGCCTTCGCCCTACTAGCGATGGCCTCCAACCTACTGGGGATGG